ATAAAATTTTAAATTAAAAGTACTTGACCAGAAAGCCGCTTAAAAATATTGTTTTATGGATCCTAGTAATAAAATAAATATGTAGGCATTGTAAAAAAAGTAACAAGTATTATAATAATATGTACATTCATACAGTATACTGAAAAATGTAAAAGCTAAGGTTAGTTATACTACAACAATATTGTCAAACGAAAATAAATTTTATGCTTTGTCAAAATGTTCGCCCGCATGTAAAAAATATCACCAGGATTTTATCACCAATAGATTCGGGACAAAGGGGGATACGGAACAAAAAGCTCTTTATCTGCAGGAGCTCCAAGTTGTACAAAAAAAGGCAGCGCTTGTATTTGTAAGTAAATGGCAGGTAGACGGTTGTAGGTGTATTCAACGGTTTTTTTTTAGATTTAACAAAAAAGCAAAACGATGCACCTTTCTAGATTCCCACTGTATGCCACACTAGCAGGTTGGCGAAAATTAATCATGGCATAAATTTGATGGTATTATATGTTATTCGAATTCACAATTCATTTACCTTAACCTTTTAATAGGGTTAATTTAAGTTATACCTAATCATTTTAGAATAATTTTCATTTCTTTTGTTTGACTATTTCTCTTTAAGTAAAATTGTTTAGAGACTATATTGTAAACGTATGTTTTTTATCCTCGCCTTACGTCTTTCGACAAGAAGCAGACCTAAAAAAGGTAGGTATATCAAATTCTATAGTCTGTCACCCTTCAAACCCTAATTAAATAAGGGTATTTTGTACCCTATTTCTTTTTACGCGGCTTATGTACGTACCATGTACAGCATAACACAAAACAGACTAGCCCCATGCAACAAGTGTCTTTTACGTAAAGTGAAATACCACAAAAAACTCGGAGCAGGTAGCGTGGCCAAGACACACCATTTATTACTATACAGTCTAACGAATAGGACCGGTTTTACCTTGTCATTACAAATAACTACCAAAACTGGCTTCGTTAGTGGATTTTGATCTTTATCGAGACCACTTTAGTCACGTTTCACAGAATCTATCGTTATGCCATATGAATTGGCCGTCTCAAGTCCCAACTCACCCCTGCCGAGATTTTAAAAGGATCAAACATCAATTCTTAAACATATGTACAACAAGATAGGTAACGTCTATTTGAAAAAAAAATCTTTGTAAAGTTATGTATCAAGATAAATTATTGTTATATAGACTTTAATAATATATTAGAGCGTATTTTTAATAGGTGCTTGGTATATATTATTATGACCAAGACAAGAGTAGCATCAAGGGGTAACATTACCTCTTATAGTAATATATTATGAGCAGCTTTAACATCTAAACTGCATATTTTATTTAAACAAAGACGAACACAGTTTGGTAGAAATTATCTGACTGTTCACTATTGAGAAATTAAGACCTTTATTACAACAAAAATACATTGGTATATATAGTCGAGGTACTTACGTATCATTTTTGACGTTTCAAATATTAGTCTGTGGAAAGAATTCAGGAGCTGAGTTGAGGTCAAATTAAATGTAAGACTGGTGTAAAAATTTATAATAATATGAGCAGGACTCATATTATTATAAATTTTTACACCAGTCTTAAAATATAATTTTACACGTTGAAATTGTTTATTCTAGATAATGGGTAGCGAGCTACGTAGCTACATAAATATAATCAACATAAATAATTAGACGGTAACATTCCTACTACAACACTGGTTAAGAAATAAATAATCTAGTTAGACTTAGAGGCCTAATAGAATCAGCATTTTCAGTATTAAGTAGGATTTGCTTTTTTCGTCTTATAATGACTATTAATCGATATTACTAAGTGCGGTAATGAAACGTAACTTAGTTGCTCTCACTTTCTTACGGTACCTGCGGGGTTTCCGGTCCACTTGTAAAATGTCCTAACTTTCCACGGTCGATCATATTTTTCTGCGGCTTAACACATTACTAGTGTGTAAATTTTTTGAATATACTTAAATAAATAAGTTCATTTTTATAACACAGGTATTTGTGCAAATAGTGACAATAAGAGGCGTAACCTAATTCCTTATATCGTAATTAAAGAGCACAAGCTTTAGCGAATTCAATAGGGAATATGCACGTGACACCAAAATTTACAAATTATTTTTATTTGTAATTTTTATTGCTAAAAAAAGACACCCATACAATTATTTTTGAAATTTATTTTAATTTAATAGTGAAATTTAATCATAAAAAATTGGCTTTTTTAAGATTCCCTCGCAAATTTCTAAAACGCAACGCTATTGGTTGAATAAAACGTGACGTCAACCTACACTGTCAAGAGTGTCAACAAGTTGTGTGTATTTGTAATATTTGGTTTCTGGTGATTATTTGTTTCATTTTAAGTTAATAACTAATACGTTTTCAGTGTTAAATTATTAAATTCCCGTGTAGAAAGACTCAACACAATGACTGAATATACTTTGTCAGGTGCAGTTTTGATATTATTTGGGCACAAAGGAACGGCACAATATTTATAATAAGTTTTTATTAGCTTTTCCATGGTAATAAGTTAATTTTTATCACTCACTTTTTTAACTTTCACAAACTTTGTGAACTTTACTCCGTTGTTGACATCGAATTCGTCTGAAAGTGTAATCTGACGTCCCAAAAAAAGCGCGCCAAAATGGACGTGTTCAAATTGCCCCAAAATGATAGTGATTTTAATTTAAAAAAAATCGCTTAACGGTTTATATTTCGGATGTGTTATATTTATTTTTGGTAATGTAATAACTAGTAGAATCGTGAAAAAAAATAAAAAACATACATGCATATTCCCTATTCAAGTTGGTAATTTCGTCGAAAAGTCTATGCTTATAATTTATTTACTAGTCTATATATATATAAGAGATTTCCACGTATAAAGTCACTCATCACGATATCTCTGGAACCATTAGAGCTAAAGACTTGAAATTTGGTAGGAATATTCTTTTCACCGAGTAGAGGTCAGCTAAGAACGGATTTTAAGAAATTAAAAAAAAAAACAATTTAAATAGCAAAACAACGTTTGCAGGGTCAGCTAGTATATCAATAAAAGTTTACATATTCTCTAGGGTCCCTAAATTAATTTTGGTTTTGAACAATGATCTAGTAATCAGCGTTGTACATGTGTAATCGCATGAAATATTTCGTTCTTTATTTACAAAAATAAGGAGATTATTTCGATTACTTCCAAGCATCTCCGTCGTAAATATCTTGTGGTATAGTCGATTGAGTTCACTTTATATTTCATCGGTTTAGAGAACAAGCCCTGGTCTTGCAACTTTTGCAACAACAACATGCGGGTGCACGCTACTCCCGACTGGTTTTATTTATTTGCCGTATCGTGTAATTACAGTACAAGAACGTTGACTTAAGCGGGAAATAAGCTTTCTGGTGGTTTATATGTTTTTATGGTATAAACACTACTAAAGGGACTACTATCACTTGAGGTCAACAATAGGTCTCCTATTAAGGCACTCATTGTATCCAATTAGGAGCTACAATTAAAACCTACTAACCAACAAAAAAAAAATGCTATCACTAGCGGAAGTGCAGTGTACAATTTGGCCAAATGACAATAATTATGGTTTAAACCTAGATCTTTTGTTAGCCTTCATTTTGTTTCATGGTTTAAGTTTCAATGGAGATTCATTTTCCTTTTATTTTAAACACATGGATCATATTAAAGCAGAAGTGACGTTCTGGATTGACAATTTAGGGCACCAACATATTCTCCAAAACTGGTACCGTGTCAATAATACGTGTAGGTATATTGTTGCTAAATACTCTCCCCCTCGTTTAAGAATTACCTACTTTATTAAGAATTTTTTAAAAAGTACTTGTTTTAAAAATCGCATATATTGCAACATACATTTATAAATTATAAAAAAAATACCTATTCTATTTGATATTTACAGAAATAACATTACATAAACAAATCCAATTTTCGTTTCTATTAATTTGAAGGCGAAAGGCAATATGAATTGAAACATTTAATAGAAATACAGACTATTTCTATTAAATGTTTCAATTTACACAATCAAATCTTACACGTCTTAGTTACAAGAGATTGTTGAAGACATTGCTTTTAAGGTACTTTTATATTTTATGAAATAACTGTACCTATGTAACTTGATGGCATCCATTTAAAAGTATGGTATATTTACAAAAAAGAATTAAATACCTACTCCCCATAAACATCTCGGACAATATCTATGCATTTAATTGAAAATACCCAAATGCTATGCCTACCTACCTACCACAATATTATTTTCGTAGTCATTATGGAACTATGTGCTTAGGTAAATGTAGTTGCTCCGATATAATTAAACTGCTATTTATGGATCTAGTTTTTTCTTAATCTTTTAAGTGATTATTGATCTGCTTTATTTATTGAATAGAGATTTTATTAAAGGTATACTGGTATATATTTACACACATGGACCATATATATTTACGTGTGGATGGATTTAAGCACTATAGGTTACACGAATGTAATTATGTAGGTACCGTCGCAATTATAGTAAATCTCAGTCTCATTATGTTAGTAATAAGAATGTGTTTGTTAGTACTAGTAAAAAAAAAACAATAATTGTCCTGTTCAGATAGTTTCAGTTAGTTAATTATTCATATTGAGCTAAATTTGATATAGCACACAGCAAAAAAAATGTTATTTTAGCAACGTGACACTCGTTGGCTTTTTAATTTAGAATAAGATTTCTGTATAATATACTCTGTTAACATGTTGAATATATATCTACAATATTATAGTCCCTTAGCACTAAATTACTTGCATCGAGTACTTTAAAATCAACCAAGTTTATCGTTGAGTGGAGGGTATAAATAATATGTACCTATTTCCTTGCGACGATTTTAGGTTGTAAGTTTTCTTATTTAAAGGACCAAACATAATTACTTCATTTTTATAATGAGCAGTTATACCAATACATCTGACGCTGTTAAAATAGTGATAAAATAAAACAACACATACCTTCATCAACAATTCACCAAAGTCGTACAGCGCAGACTGATGCATTATGGCAGTAGACATCATGCAAACCCACTCGTCACTTTATCCAGACTTTTAGGTATTTCTTTCAAAAATCTGCAAACTAACTGATCCACTGAAGCACGTATTTTTTTAGGTCGACGAACTCACTATAATTTATAGGTTAGCTGAAAAGTTCACGATACTTTTAACGAGAATTTTTTTAAATCTTTCTAAATATAGTTATAGTCTAGGAAAATCGTTGCGTTTTTGTTTTGTCGCTCGGTGACCACAGATTGTGTCCGAACTAGTTGGCCAGGGGCAGCGTTTTTTTTTCAATTCGCCCGCCACGATTGAGCCAGATCAGTATATTTTTGAACACAATTTCGCAATAGTAGCGAAAATGTACAAAACAGTCCTTTGTTTCGAAAAGTCTCCTTCACTTTTTTCGCGTCTATACGGAAATTCACAGATTTGGTCAAAATTCTGCGCGAACTGCCTCGAAGTCAACTTTACAAATAAAAACTCTTTTTAGTTTGTCGACTCTATACTCCAAAAACTTTTTTTAAATTCTGGTCGTATAAATCGCAAGGCAAAATATAAATCGCAGAGTTAACGTCCGCGCAAGACGCACCACACGTACATTCCGTATCACGCTTGCTCGCGCACTGAGCTAACTGAGCTTGTTGTAGTTTGACTTCGCCCGTGAAACGCCGGCAGCGGGCGGGTGAATTTTGTTTTCAAATCAAACAGCGCGATCACGTTTTGGAGCGAGATTCGTTTTCTACTCGGCTGAGTTCGGTAACATTCGGCTTGTTTTGTTGTTGCTTCGCTGCCGGCCGGCACAACAATTTGACAGAACTCAAAAACTCATGGTTATGGAGTGGGAAGACATTTTGGATTATTATTAATCCAGTTTGTAATCTTTAAAACAGTAGGTATCTATTATTTTAATTTACATACTATTAGAAGAATATGCGTTAAAAAACGAAAAGAGTAAAAAATAATAATATTCCTAAGCATACTTTAGATGTTAAGTTTTACATACCTACGAAGGTACACACATTTAATTATCATTTTTAATACGGAAGTACTGATATATGTAGATGTCTATGTATTTCAGTAGGAAGGTAATTACTTTGTTAATATGAGTTTCTGAAGACTGAACAAAAACTTGCGATTTTAGAGCTGGTTCCACCAACCGAGATAGCTGTCAGTTGCAGACCAAGCTGCGGTCACATTCAAGAGCGGAGATTTTTTATTTTCTCACATTCAAAACAAGGAAAATAGGGAACTATACCACAATATAGGTAGGTGTATCTAATTACTACATAATCTTACATCGAAACTTTCTTTGGCACTGTAGACTTTTTCTTCAAAAAACATCATTGACCTAGTTATATTCAACCAAATTGTTATGTTAAACCTACTTACTTATAATTAGGTACGTGGTTCATTTGTCTGATTGGTAAAGTCCATCCAATCCATATACCTACAGTTTAAAAAAGCAAGGAGTTCTGGATAAATTTAAAAAATCAACTATGTAAATAAATACTTCTTAATCATGTAAATATATTGATACTATTGTAAGCAATTTTACTAAATAATAACATTTCTGACAGGTATAAAGGTCTGAGACATTTGACACTTAATGTATTTTTCTAGAAAAGCCACATCTTTTATCTGAAGTTTCTTTCCGGTTCCTGGAAACAAAACTGTTAAATACCTACTATGCTGGTTAATGCCATGCTTATAAAAAATATGCCATGTTAATCCACTTCATGAATATCATACAATTCTTTTAAGACTTATTATAATAATTATACATATTTAACTTGTAGTGAACTTTAAAACTAAATGGTCATTCTAAGTTTGTTTACATTTAAATGTAATTTTAGACACGCTTATTCTTAGTAACATAGTTAACCCCTAACCGCCCGCGACCACGTCTCGGACAACTTTTTATTACAGCATTCGTTGGTTGCAAACCCGTTTGACGGTTAGTCTTATGCCCTATGTAGCACACACGCACTTGGAATCAGCCCTTACATTGTGATTTTATGATTTTTTATTACTGATTCCTAATTAAAGTATACTCACACAATGACACCACAACCAATGCTTAGTTACTTACTAACAAATTCTATGAATCGAAAGTTAGTTCGTTCGTTTGTTACGCTTTTATGCCTTAACCACTCAACAACTCATCACAAAATATTGTAGGTATGTATATACGTTGTCAGGGATTCAAACAAGGACATAAAGTATCTTTCATCCATTTTACTTTCTTGGGCACGGTTACTTTATAATGCGCAATAATTATTTTGTATAAAACAATGATTTATTCCTAAAAAGAGACCCTTCTTTTACAAAAAGGAAGCCGTTATTATAATACAGGAATAATAATTAAAGCTTATCACAGGAAATATTACAGTTAACTAGCTTTATGAATAATCTACATCATTATATGACCGCTAACCTAACTTCCTGTCAGAATTTAATGAATTCATTTATTTATGCCTTTAAATAATAAGTTATTCTAAGAACCGTAGGGCATAAAATAAGATTACGTAAGAAAATAATATTAATACTCCAGCCAGCAAAACGGAATGATTATGCTACCAGCCTTAAGTCACTCTCATGGGAAATATTTTGAAACATGAGCTGAAATATAAACTATACCGTCGTTTTTAGGGGTACATAAGTTCAAGATAAACCCTTTTGGCAGTTTCAATTTTTCGACTGAATAATTTCATTTAACTTAGGTATTTGAATTAATATTTTAAATCTTATTTAAATAACGAAACACTTATTCCTAGATAAAATAATAACGTTAAGAAAGTGAGCTAAGTAAACTACTTTTGTACTAACATTACTTTGGTTTGGTAATCCAAAAAACATCTTTTCATCTATAATGTTAAATAAACATATTAAAGATTTGATTCTTTTGCAGAACCCAGTTGTACCGTCATTGTTTTAGTAGGACCCCGAGTAGTTAAGAATGGGTCAGTGTCAAGTAACGGTCACGTAGTGCTTAGTCCTAAACTTCTGGCGCTTGGAAATACAATACATTGTGTGCAAACATTGCTAGAAGGTGATAGTTGTGTGTTGACAAAGCTTATATTATACCTACATAATTAGTGGATCAGCACTTTGCAATTATTTGATATTGAACCTTGGAATTAATTAATGATACAATCTCCTCATTTGTTTAAGAAATGAATGTAAATGACTGCTCAAATTACTTTTACCTATATTATATATATATGGAAGGTTAATATACTTTATATTTACTTGATACTAACACACATCGTCTAAAATATACAATACTTAATGTTATTAGACACATTGCACAGCGCTTTCTAGGTGGTATCCGAGGGGATTTCCGCACGGGAAAAAAAAAAAAAAAAAATATGGGAAAAGTGAGTCGGGCACGCTGTCATCGCGGCGGTAAGACCCGCTATGGAGGATTGGCTCGAGAGGCGTCACGGGACCCTCTCATACCGACTGACGCAGGTGACCACTGGGAAAGGATGTTTCGGGGATTACTTGTGTCTGATCCGCAAGGAGCCAACGCTTGAGTGCCATCACTGCGATGGCCAGACCGTGGACACGGCTCTCCACACGCTGGTAGAGTGCCCGGCGTGGGTTGAGCAGAGGCGAGACTTCGTGGCGGCCATTGCAGTGGGAGTTCCCTCGCTCGATAGCCTGATTGCGGCTACCGTGCGGAGCGAGAGTGCGTGGAACTCTGCCGTCTCCTTCTGCGAGCAAGTTATGCTCGCGAAGGAGACGGCGGAGCGGGATCGGGAGAGGTTTAGAACTCTCCCGGCCCGCCAGGCCCGGGAACGGGCCAGGCACCGCAGGCGACTCAGGCGCGGGAGGTCGCAGAACGACACCTCCGTCGCGCGTTGCGAAGCGCGCTCGCTTCCAGGGAGCAGAGGGAACATGGGGTTCCCACACGGGGGGGGGGGGGGGGAGTCGTCTACTTGTTGTAGATGGCCCGAGGTATGTCGGGGCACCAGCGACTTTCTTTCTAGGGTATACATGGTTCCCCGGCTATTAGTACCTGAGACGGCGTGCGGTTTTAGTCGGTTCGAGTCCGACATGCCGCCATAGGTGGTATCCGAGGGGAGTTCTGCACGGAAAAAAAAGGGAAAAGTGAGCACAACTTGTACCATATTGAAGAGACCGATTTTGATGATATTTGGTATGGAGACAGTTTGATGCTGGAGTAAGAATATACTATATAATAGGCTACTTTGTACCGCGATAACCGACATACACACGGGCGCAGCCGCGGGCAAAAGCTAGTATAATACAATGTGTATGGATGTATATTGTTCTTCCTTGAAATAAAAGCATGTTAGATAGAAACTCCAACACTTTAATATCAGAACTGATCACATCTACGTATCATCTGAAGTCCTTTCGTTTTCCCTAAATATGTTGTACAGGGTTTCACCAAAAGATTAAGATAACTAACACAATACCTACAAATGAGTGTATAAATGCAGCAGTAAATATTTATGAGCATTACCTAGATTACAAGAGAAGCGAAGTTCGCTTTACACAGTGTAGTAAAATAAAATATAAAGAGAAGGCTCTAATGCAATACAATATATAATGATAAATATTCTAACTCAATAGAAACTAAAGAGGTATAACGCTTAGGGATGACTATGAATAAATAAACAATTACTTCCAAATACAATACCTGCAGTAGCTAAACTTACAAATGTACCTCGTAAACCATGCCCGGGGAAATGTAGTTAGTTAACAATACGATTTCCTTTGACCTTTTTGTAATAATTTTACATAAACAGAAACAAATTTTAAACAATGGGAAGTTGGAGATTTTTTTTAAAACAAATAAAGGCTTGAATTTGTAAGTGACTTTTAAACTTGGCGAAACCTCTTCCTCCCCAATTGGAAGGAGTATTTATTTGTATATTTCACGCGCCATTTCTAGACTAAATTTTAGTCGAAAAACTTTTTTCATTGAATTGGGTGTAATCAAGTTCGATCTTATTAAGATTTGAAGATTTTTT